GATGCTGGAAGCTGACCTTAGCATACTTGACGGGAGGTTTAAAGAAATAAAAACAAGAGGAATTTATTGAGCTAGAAGTATAGAGGGTTAAACAAAATGTGCATAAACTCTATGGAGAGCAGTGACGGAAGCCAAGGTGGTGGGTAGCACTGGGGGTCAGTTGAGGGGTAACTGTACTGTGGGTGGCTTCAGCCCCCCCCCCCAAATTCTCAAGGTGGTCTGTGAGAAGGCCTTACTGGTACATTATTTAAACTGTTATGTAAATACCTGGGAGTCACCATGGACCGTGCTCTGACCTACAAGAAGCACTGCCTGAACATCAAGCAAAAAGTGGGTGCTAGAAACAACATCATACGAAAGCTGACTGGCACAACCTGGGGATCACAACCAGACACAGTGAAGACATCTGCCCTTGCTCTGTGCTACTCTGCTGCTGAGTACGCATGCCCAGTATGGAACACATCTCACCACACTAAAACAGTGGATGTGGCCCTTAATGAGACATGCCGCATTGTCACAGGGTGTCTGCGCCCTACACCACTGGAGAAATTACATTGCTTAGTCGGTATTGCACCACCTGACATTCGCCGGGAAGTAGCAGCCAATAGTGAAAGGACCAAGGTAGAGACATCCCCAGCTCATCCCCTGTTTGGGCATCAGCCAGCACATCAACTACTTAAATCAAGAAATAGTTTTCTAAGATCTACAGAGACACTCGCTGGAACACCTCAGCAAGCGAGAGTCCAAAAGTGGCAGGCTCAAACCCAGAACCTCAATCAATGGCTGATACCAAATGAGAGACTCCCCCCCTGGACACACAGAAAACTGGGCGACTTGGAAGGCGCTGAACAGACTGCGCTCTGGCACCACGAGATGCAGAGTCAACCTCAAGAAATGGAGCTACAAAGTGGAATCCACGAAAGGCGAGTGTGGAGAAGAGCAAACCACTGACCACCTGCTGCAATGCAACCTGAGCCCTGCCACATGATGCACAATGGAGGACCTTCTTGCGGCAACACCAGAGGCACTCCAAGTGGCCAGATACTGGTCAAAGGACATTTAATCAACTACCAAACTCACAAAGTTTTTGTATTTTGTCTGTTTGTTTGCTTTGTTCTGTTAGAAATGTAATATAATTTACTGGTTGCCCTGATACGACAAATAAATAAATAGCATGATCTGATATCCCATATGCATGGGGGTATTGGGATAATGATACAAAAGGTTTGCTAGGGTAGATCCTGAGCCGCCCCAATCAAACTCACCCCCTCCCCACTCCGAATCAAAATCCTGACTCAGGGTGGATCACAATGTGCACATATATGGCAAACATTCAATGCCATAGACACACAACACATATAGACAGACTGTCAGAGGCTATTTAACATTCCAACTTCTGGCGACCAGGAGAGCTGTTGCTTCACTGTCCATCTGCGACACTGATGAAGTACTTCCTCATTCCCTGCATGCTCACTGATCTTTATAGCCTCGTAAATTAGTTAAATTAGCCTCCCCACAAAGTGGTACTTAAATTTCCTACTTGACAGATGCAACTGTCTTTCGGGCTGCAAATCATAGAATCAAATCAAAGAGTTGGAGGAGACCTCATGGGCCATCCAGTCCAACCCCATTTTGCCAAGAAGTAGGAATATTGCATTCAAATCACCCCTGACAGATGGCCATCCAGCCTCTGTTTAAAAGCTTCCAAAGGAGGAGCCTCCACCACACTCCGGGGCAGAGAGTTCCACTGCTGAACGGCTCTCACAGTCAGGAAGTTCTTCCTCATGTTCAGGTGGAATCTCCTCTCTTGTAGTTTGAAGCCATTGTTCCGCGTCCTAGTCTCCAGGGAAGCAGAAAACAAGCTTGCTCCCTCCTCCGCCCTGTGGCTTCCTCTCACATATTTATACATGGCTATCATATCTCCTCTCAGCCTTCACTTCTGCAGGCTAAACATGCCCAGCTCCTTAAGCCGCTCCTCATAGGGCTTGTTCTCCAGATCCTTGGTCGACAGCAAGCTACACAAATTAGTTGGAAGCTCATTCCGACCTGGGCTGGCTTTGAACTCATGACCTTTTGGTCAGTAGTGATCTTAATGCAGCTGACACCCAGCTAGCTGTGCCACAGTCCGGACGCAGCTATCATACTATCACTGCACCAACCCCCAGAGTCAGACACGACTGGATTTAATGTCACTGGAAAACCTTTACCTACCTTCACCTTACACACACACACACGGCAAGTGAGTCAGAAGGCCAATCGAGGATCACAGAATCATAGAATCAAAGAGTTGGAAGAGACCTCATGGGCCATCCAACCCCATTCTGCCAAGAAGCAGGAAAATCGCATTCAAAGAACCCCCGACAGATGGCCATCCAGCCTCTGTTTTAGAGCCTCCAAAGAAGGAGCCTCCACCACACTCCGGAGCAGAGAGTTCCACTGCTGAACGGCTCTCACTGTCAGGAAGTTATAATAGAATCATAGAATCAAAGAGTTGGAAGAGACCTCCTGGGCCATCCAGTGCAACCCCATTCGGCCAAGAAGCAGGAATATTGCATTCAAAACACCCCCGACAGATGGCCATCAAGCCTCTGTTTAAAAGCCTCCAAAGATGGAGCCTCCACCACACTCTGGGGCAGAGAGTTCCACTGTTGAACGGCTCTCACAGTCAGGATGCTCAAGTGGAATCTCCTTTCTTGTAGTTTGAAGCCATTGTTCCGTGAGTGAATGAGGCCTGGGCCCCCTTTGGCCCTCCCTCCAGGTGTTTTGGGCTTCAGCCCCTCTTTGGCCCTATGGAGAAGGAATGGGAAGAAGACTCACCAGAAGGAGAAGGAGAAGAAGAAGAAGGAAAAAGCTGCAAGGAGATGGAGGAAGAGGAAGAGAAGTGACACCTTGCAAGGAGGGGGAGAAGCAGGAAGAGGCCAAAAGGGGGAGGCTCCCTTCTTCTCTCCCAGCTGGGCAAGGAAGGGTTAAGGGGAGAGAGTTTGGTTCCTAGAGGGATAAGAAAGGTGATATAAGGAGGCCCACTTCCTTCCTGCCTCTCTGGGAACCACACTCCCTCCCCTTAACCCTTCCTTGCCCAGCATTACTCTGGAAGGAGGGGGAAAGAGCATCTCTCCAAAGCCCTGGAACCAAAGGACTGAAGATGTCTTAAGGACATTCAGGAACTCAAGCTGTTCTTTGACACCACACAGCACACTCTCCTAGACACGCAACCCACGTCACACCAACATTATGGGGCGCGGCTTACGAGGAGCTCACTTCAGATGTGGACAGCCCTCAGGCTTGGAGGAATGTCACCCTTAGAAGGAGACATAGAATCAAAGAGTTGGAAGAGACCTCCTGGGCCATCCAGTCCAACCCCATTCTGCCAAGAAGCAGGAATATTGCATTCAAATCACCCCTGACAGATGGTCATCCAGCCTCTGTTTCAAAGCTTCCAAAGAAGTAGCCTCCGCCACACTCCGGGGCAGAGAGTTCCACTGCTGAACGGCTCTCACAAGTCAGGAAGTTCTTCCTCATGTTCAGATTGAATCTCCTTTCTTGTAGTTTGAAGCCATTGTTCTGCGTCCTAGTCTCCAGGGAAGCAGAAAACAAGCTTGCTCCCTCCTCCTCCCTGTGGCTTCCTCTCACATATTTATACATGGCTATCATATCTCCTCTCAGCTTTCCCTTCTTCAGGCTAAACATGCCCAGCTCCTTAAGCCGCTCCTCATAGGGCTTGTTCTCCAGACCCTTGATCATTTTAGTCGCCCTTCTCTGGACACATTCCAGCGTGTCAGCATCTCTCTTGAATTGTGGTGCCCAGAATATTCCAGATGTGGTCTAACCAAAGCAGAATAGAGGGGTAGCATCACTTCCCTGGACCTAAACACTATGCTCCTATTGATGCAGGCCAAAATCCCATTGGCTTTTTTTGCCGCCGCATCACATTGTTGGCTCATGTTTAACTTGTTGTCCACGAGGACTCCAAGATCTTCTTCACACGTCCTGCTCTCGAGCCAGGTATTGTCCCCCATTCTGTATCTTTGCATTTTGTTTTTTCTGCCAAAGTGGAGTATCTTGCATTTGTCACTGTTGAACTTCATTTTGTTAATTTTGGCCAATCATCTCTCTAATCTGTCAAGATCATTTTGAGTCCTGCTCCTGTCCTCTGGATTATTGGCTATCCCTATCTCTCTCTCTCTCTCTCTCTTGGTCCCAATGGCTGAAGAGAAATTCAGGAGAAGAGGCGACTTTTGGTGCGCACGCTTTGGTCTTCAGACACGCCTCCGGACCCGAAGTGGGCCAGCTGCGGCGGCTCCGCCCCTTGGCCCACCCGCGGATTGGGGAGAGGAGAGGAGGCGGGTGGAGTGCCGGGGGATCGGGAAAGGCAGCCGGTCATGCGGAAGGGATCAAACGTGGAGAACGATTGAGCGCCGGCTCTGCTTGCGCACCCCGTGGCCAGATGGGGCAGGAACAAGAGGGGCTCAAGGGCCCGGCCCCTTGGGAAGAGGATCGCCCGGCAGCGAGGCAAGAAAGCCGAGGCTCCCCCGGACTGCTAGGGCTGTTGTGAGCTGAGGGGGCGCTCCTCAAGTGGCGGTCGAGGGGCATTTACAGAGGCGCCTCTGCGCCCCTGGCAAAATAAAAGTGTTCTGCGACCGCTTACTTCACGTAATGGACAAGCCGCCCCTGCGCACTTGATATCCAACGTATGCCTTTGCTCCTCAAACCATTTGAGGTGATTTGGCTCTTGTGGGACCCGGGAGTGTAGGAGGCGAAGACGAAGACGAAGGCGTTATGGGGCAGGCAGTAAGGCTCATGCATGTTCCCGCTGCCTCTCCTGTGTGAATGCCTCTGCCCGCCCACACTTTACCATATTACACAAATGTAATGTGCACCCCAATTTTGGCACGGTCACTTAGCTAAAAAGGGTGCGCCTCAGATTTGCATAAATATGGTAATCTCTTTACTGGTAATTAGATTTTCTCAAGCAATGGTTAACTCTAAAATAACAACAAGACTCGTGTTCTTAAATTTAATGTGGATTAAAAATGTATGTGCCAGGAGCAAGGAAAGAGACAATAAATGCTAGCCAGAGATACAATTTGCGCATCAAGGGAAATAAGAGTGCAAACATCTTTTCCTTTGGCTTCCCCTCAAAAGAAGCACCGAGTTCAATTCTGGAATCCCAGGTGAAAGACAACCCTCACAAACTGGACATTAGCAACCAAGGTAATAAAGGAGCTGGGAACTAAGCCCAGAGGAACAACTGATGGAATTACATATGGTTTATTTTTGAAATAAGTGACATGATGCCCGTGACTAGAGAAGCAAAAGAGTTCTTCAAAAAAGTCCCAGGTCAAACAAAGCAAAAACAAACAAACAAGCAACAACCCTGAAAATATTCTGAAAACAAGAAGAGAATTGTCTTGGTCGAAAGTCAAGCCAAGTGCTAACTAAGTTCATTGGGAAATGCTGAATGCATACTCTACAGCACCAGAAGGTCTAGAACCTGCAATTTCCCTATTGCAATTCATGTTATTACTTTTGTCCCAGCTCTTTGGATGGTTTTTCTCCTCTATGAATTTTCTGGTGGCTCACAAGGTATGAACTTCGAGCAAAACGTTTCCTACACTCCTAGCATTGGTATGGCTTCTCTCTTACATGGATGCTCTGGTGTCTCAGAAGTGATGACGTGCAAGAATACCATATCCCACACATCTGGCATTTCTATGATCTCTATGGACATTTCCCACACTGTTGGAATTGGTATGGCTTCTCTCCCGTGTGGACTCTTTCGTGCTTCACCAGATTTGAACTGTGAGCAAAACATTTCCCACACTCCAGGCATTGGAATGGCTTCTCTACTGTGTGGAGTCTTTGATGCCTGAAGAAGACTGAACTGTGAGCAAAACATTACCCACACTCCTGGAATTGGTATGGCTTCTCTCCTGTGTGGATTCTTTTGTGGCTCACCAAGGCTGTACTCTGAGCAAAACATTTCCCACACTCCTGGCATTGGTGTGGCTTCTCTCCTGTGTGGAGTCTTTTGTGGCTCACCAAGTCTGAGTAGTAACCAAAACATTTCCCACACTCCTGGCATTTGTGTGGCTTCTCTCCTGTATGGATTCTTTTGTGACTCACCAAGGTTGAACTCTGAGTAAAACATTTCCCACACTGCTGGCACTGGTACGGCTTCTCTCCTGTATGGAGTCTTTGGTGGCTCACCAAGGCAGAATTGTAAGCAAAACATTTTCCACACTCCTGGCATTGGTATGGCTTCTCTCCTGAGTGAAGTCTTTTGTGGCTCACCAAGGCTGAACGGTCAGCAAAACATTTCCCACACTCCTGGCATTGGTATGGCTTCTCTCCTGTGTGGAGTCTTTTGTGGCTCACCAAGTCTGAGCGGTAACCAAAACATTTCCCACACTCCTGGCATTTGTGTGGCTTCTCTCCTGTATGGATTCTTTTGTGGCTCACCAAGGTTGAACTCTGAGTAAAACATTTCCCACACTCCTGGCATTGGTATGGCTTTTCTCCTGTGTGGAGTCTTTTGTGGTTCACCAAGTGTGAACTGTAACTAAAACATTTCCCACACTCCTGGCATTGGTATGGCTTCTCTCCTGTGTGGAATCTTTTGTGGCTCACCAAGTGTGAACTGTAACCAAAACATTTCCCACACTCTTGGCATTGGTATGGTTTCTCTCCTGTGTGGACTCTTTTATGCTTCACCAAGGCTGAACTGTCAGCAAAACATTTCCCACACTGCTGGCATTGGTATGAATTCTCTCCTGTGGGAAATCTCCCATGTTTCTCCAAGTGTGAACTCTGGATAATAGATTCCACACACTCCTGTTTTATGCAATCTTCAGTTCCTTCAAATATTTCTTCTTGGCTGAGATGTGGCAATTTGTAATCAGCAACACATTTTGCTGATACTTTCCATTTAAGATGCCTTTTCTCAGCATGAAGAGTCTTGTGAAGCACAAGTGCCATGTAATGTCTAAAACACTGCCCGCATGTATTGCATAGGAAAGGCCTTTCTCTGGCAGGAGCTCCGTCTTCAATGTAGCTTTGCTGGTGTCCAGGAAGGCCCTCATTGTGCCCGGGATGCTTACTGTGTTTGGTGTATACATTGCTCTTCTTCCATTTATCTGCTGTGAAGAAGAAGGACAGAAACAATCATTCCTCAGCATGAGTGGTAAAGAGTCTAAAGATATAAATGCTGCCCTCTCCTCACTCCTTGTTCGTTAAGAATAGACACTGTTTGACTGCCTGGACCCTCTAAAGGTGAGCTGAGTAACTTATGTTCCAGAGTATACCTGTTGCGCAGCCCAACATGTTTTTTTTATTCTGTCTCCTTCTGCCTTCTCCCTTCACATTCAAATCCTCCCCCTTTTCTCTAGCTAAACTTTTACCTTGCTACCACCCATTCCACAATTATTCCCTTCTTCTCCTATCTCTCCCCCAACCTCCAGTTTTCTCTCCCCACGTGACTGTAAACAAAACAAAACAAAACAAACAAAAACCCAAGCCCCAATCATTCACAAGCAGGGAAGAAAAACAAGGTGGAATATCACCCTGATAAAAATATGTCTGCATATCTAAAGCCAGGGGAAGTTTTTTTAAGCTCGATTCTCCGGCCTCATTCCAATAAATTTCCTTGGAGCCCCAGTTACTGGGAAGAAGCCTGTCAGCAGGCATCAACAGCAAGCCAGCTTTTGCAAAACCACACTTTCCCATCATTTTCCAGACTCCTTTTGGCTTCAGGCATGAAGTGGCTTTCCAAGCTGTCCAAGGGAACACAGGATGCAAAACCAGGGGACTGGAAATGTGTGCCTGAAGTCAGGAGAGATTTAATGGGTGACTTTTTGAATATTTACTCCCCTCCTCCATCCCTCCCTTTCTCCCTCCCTCCCCTGTTGCTCTCTCTCAATCGCAGAGATAGAGAGAGACGTAGTGTGACTGATCTGGGCTGATCACTCTTGAAAGGTTTTCCAGGGAGCCCCACTGCTGTGAGAGGTTATAGTGTGCTTGGACTTGTCTCCAGTTATGGAGGTCTTCCCACTGGAGTCCAAATTGGTGCTAAGACTGCTGTTGCTCAGGCACCATCAATATTACCCTTATGTCATATATTTCTAGCATAAGTCCTGCCTTGAGAACTCTCAGAGGTTGGGATGATTTAGGATCCTTGAAGATGGCCCAGAAACTTCAATATGTCCAACATTTGGCAGCCAGACTACTAACTGGGGCGAATTACAGGGAGGGGTCAACCCCCCTGTTTAAGGAGCTCCATTGGTCCCAATTCAAGCTGCAGGTTATCACCTATAAAGCCCTAAACGGTTTGGGACCCGTCTACCTTTATGACCGCATCTCCTTTCACAAACCTGCAGGTTCCCTCCGATCCTCAGGGGAGGCCCTCCTCTCACTTCTTCCTCTATCACAGGCACGACTTGTGGGAACGAGGGAGAGAGCCTTCTCCGCTGTGCCCCCCCCCCCCCCCGGCTATGGAACTCGCAATCTTGTGAGATTAGGCAAACCTCCACCCTAGCAGCCTTTAAGAAAGATCTAAAGACTGGGCTTTTCCCATTGCCTTTGGAGAGTGACCATATATTCCAGGCCTGTTGTTTCACCTACACTGCTTGCCTCATACTGCACTTTCCCCACCTTATTGAAAGTCTAATTCCACTGTTCAATCCCCCATGAGCTCCTCTCCTACAAATGTACCTTTTCATTGCTAGAGCACGTCTGGTTTTGCAAAACAAGTCTTTCCCATCATTTTCCATCTGATGTTCCCTCAGTTATTGGGGGTTCCATTCCAGGACCTCCCACAAAAAGTGAAAAACTGCAAAGTACGGATGCTCTATTTATTTTAATATTTATACACTATTTTTGTAGGTATACACTATTTTAAGTCTTTATAAACTTAAAATAAAGGGAAGGGAAGGGAAGGGAAGGGAAGGGAAGGGAAGGGAAGGGAAGGGAAGGGAAGGGAAGGGAAGGGAAGGGAAGGGAAGGGAAGGGCATTCATGCTGGAGGGGGGCAGGGAGGACTGAGGAGAGAAAGCGCCTCGGAGAGCGGTGGCAGCAACAAATCACAAAACAGTGAAAATACCATGATATATATTTTAAATTAATATTTTTTAAAAATCTGCGAAACAGCAAGTGCATTAAAAGCAAACCGCAAGGGAACACTGTATGCAGTGGCTTTCCAAGCCGCCCAAGGGTACACAGGATGCAAAAGCAGGTGGCTGAAAAGGTGTGCCTGAAGTCAGGATAGGTTTGCTGGGTTACTTATTGAATATTTGCTCCCCCCCCCTCCATGTCCCCTCCCCTGCCTCTTCCTAACACACACACTCACAGAGATAGAGAGAGACTGATTTGGGGTGATCACTCTTGAGATGTTTTTGAGGGGGCCCTGGTGCTGCGAGGGAGCTTGGACTTGACTTCCCACTGGAGTCCAAAATGGTGCTAAAATGGCTGTTGCTCAGGCACCAAGTCAATACTTGCTTGCATGCTGGTTGCTTCTGGATTGAGAGAATCAGTCGTCTATGAAGACGTTGCCCAGGGGATGCCCGGATGTCTTGCAATCCTGCGAGGAGGCTTCTCTCATGTCCCCTCGCTGGAACACCGCAGCAAGCGAGAGTCCAAAAGTGGCAGGCTCAAACCCAGAACCTCAACCAATGGCTGATACCAAATGAGAAACTCCCCCCTGGGCACACAGAGGACTGGGCGACTTGGAAGGCGCTGAACAGACTGCGCTCTGGCACCATGAGATGCAGAGCCAACCTTCAGAAATGGGGCTACAAAGTGGAATCCACGACATGCGAGTGTGGAGAAGAGCAAACCACTGACCATCTGCTGCAATGCACCCTGAGCCCTGCCACATGCACAATGGAGGACCTCCTTGCAGCAACACCAGAGGCACTCCAAGTGGCCAGATACTGGTCAAAGGACATTTAATCAACTACCAAACCCACACATTTTTTATTTTCTCTGTTTGCTTTGTTCTGTTAGAAATGCAATATAATTGACTGGCTGCCCTGACATGAGAAGTCAATATACCCTTAAGTCATATATTTCTAACATAAGCCCTGCCTTGAGAACTCTCAGAGATTGAAATGATTTAGGATCCTGCTCCCACTAGGGAACTGCTGATTGGGATGCTGCACTTCTGAAATAGAAATCCCCATCCGTGAGGGGGCCTTACCAAGAGAGTCCACCATCCCATGAATCTCCTCCATGATCTGCAAGTGCAAGGCTTTCTGACCAGGGCTCAGGAGAGCCCACTCCTCCAAAGAGAAATGGACAGCCACCTCCTCAAAGGTGATTGGGCCCTGGTGGGAAAAGAACACATTTCCTTCTTACACAAAAGCTACCAAGAAAAATAATTACAAGAAACTCTTTAAAACAGATTTATATTCCTGTTGGATGTTTGAAAAGGAAAAGACTATGGCTTCCATGCCATAGCTTGAGCCTTGTAGAGACATCTCGTTGGTCACAGTTAAGACCCATTTCGTAATTGATATGTAGAATCAGAAATGGAATCTGGACATGTTCCAGTTTTCATTGTGTTGCCCAGAATGGGACACAGTGTTATTCCAGGTGAGGTCTCACCAAAGCAGAAAGAAAGTCACCGTGATTTCCCTTAATGTAGACACTACATTCCTTTCGATGCACCCAAAATCACACAGGCTTCTTAGCTGCTGCATCATATTGTTGGCTCGGTCAGATTTGCTTCGAGTATTCCACCAACGTTGCTCTGATCTCCTTTTTCAATAGAGTTACACGCTTGGTAGATGTGGTGAATGCCATGGATGGAGTGTACCTAGATTTCAGGAAGGCCTTCCTTTGACATGGTCCCCCATGACCTTCTGGCAAACAAATTAGTCCAATGTGGGTTAGGCAAAATTATGGTTAGGTGGATCTGTAATTGGTTAAGCGAACAAATCCAGAGGGTGATTCTGCCCAATGTTTCCTCTTCATCCGGGAAAGAAGTGACGAGTGGAGTGTCATCAGCAAGGTCCCCTTCAACATCAACATCTAATCTCAACAGATTAGAGAGATAATGGGCCAAAACTAACCTAATGAAGTTCAACAGGGACAAATGCAAGATACTCCACTTAGTCAGAGAAAAGGAAATGCAAAGACAGATTGGGAGACGAGGCCTGGCTAGAGGGAAGTACATGTGTTGTGGACAACAAGTTAAACATGAACCAGTAATGTGATGTGGCAACAAAAAAAGCCAATGGGATTTTGGTCTCCATATATATGAGTATAGTGTCTAGATCCAGGGAAATCATGCTACTCCTTTATTCTGCCTTGGTCAGACCACACCTGGAATACTGTGTCCAGTTCTGGGCACCACAATTGGAGGGAGATGTTGATAAGATGGAATGTGTCTAGAGGAAGGCGACTAAAATGATCAGGGGTCTGGAGAACAAGCTCTATGAGGAGTGGTTGAAAGAGCTGGGCATGTTTAGCCTTCAGAAGAGGAGACATGATGGCCATGTATAAATATGTGAGGAGAAGTCATAGGGAGGAGGGAGCAAGCTTGTGTTTATTTATTTATTTATTTATTTGGTGCATTTATTAACTGCCATTCTCAGCCCTCTAGGGCGACTCATGGCGGTGTACAGCATAAAAAGGCAATTTACAAAAAGAGCATATTGGCAATACAACAATACAACAATTATAAAATTACACTAACTAATCCGCTTCGTCTCATAGTAGAATCGTCACCAATCTCGTATTCCTTGTTCCATTCCAGTCATCTTACCACATTATTATAGCACTTAATTAAATGCCCTCTCGAACAGCCATGTCTTGAGGCTTTTTCGGAAGGACATAAGGGAGGGCGCCTGCCTGATGTCTGCAGGGAGAGTGTTCCACAGCCGGGGGGCCACCACTGAAAAGGCCCTCTCTCTCGTCCCCGCCAGGCGTGCCTGTGAGGCAGGCGGGATCGAGAGAAGGGCCTCCCCAGACGATCTCAAGGTCCTCGTGGGCTCATAGGCCAAGATGCGGTCTGAAAGGTATTTTGGGCCGGAGCCGTTTAGGGCTTTGTAGGCCAACACCAGCACCTTAAATTGGGCCCGGTAGCAAATCGGCAGCCAGTGGAGCTGGGACAACAAGGGCGTTGTGTGCTCCCTGTATCCCGCTCCAGTTAGTAACATGGCTGCCGCGCGCTGAACCAGCTGAAGCTTCCGGGCCGTCTTCAAGGGCAGCCCCACGTAGAGAGCGTTGCAGTAGTCAAGCCGGGATGTGACCAGAGCGTGTACCACCGTGGCCAAGTCAGACTTCCCGAGATACGGGCGCAGCTGGCGCACGAGCCGAGCTGTGCAAATGCTCCCCTGGTCACCGCTGAAACCTGGGGATCCAGGCTCAACGATGAATCCAGTGTTCTGCTGGAGACTAGGATGTGGAGCAATGGCTTCAAACTACAAGAAAGGAGACTCAACCTGAACATTAGGAAGAACTTTTTGACTGTGAGAACTATTCAGCAGAGGAACTCTCTGCCCCAGAGTGTGGTGGAGGTTCCTTCTTTTGCAGCTTTTAAACAAAAGCTGGATGGCCATCTGTCAGGGGTGCTTTGAATGCAACTTTCCTGCTTCTTGGCAGAATGGGGTTAGACTGGATGGCCCACAATCAACGCTATGATTCTATGACTTGAATTTGTTTAGAGCGGCCAGGTATTCCTGGATAACTTCTTTCCCTATTTGGGGTTAGATTTCCTCTAATCCTTCGTCCACTTCATGTTGCTTTCTTTTTGTGAGAAGATGAGGCAAAGACAGCATTAAGTAGTTCTGCTTTTTCCCTATCTCCTGTTAGCATTTCCCCATCTTCTCCTCGCAGAGGTACTATCACCTCCTTGTTCTTCCTTTTTCTACTGATGTAGATAAAGAAGCCCTTATTATTATTTTTAATGTCTCTAGCAAGCCTGAGCTAGTTTTGCGCTTTAGCCTTGCAAACCTTTTCCCTACAGGGGTTGGCTATTTGTTTGAATTCTTCTTTGGTGATTTCTCCCTTTTTCCACTTCTTGTGCATGTCTCTTTTGAGACTTAGCCTAGTTTGATGTTCTTTGGACATCCAAAAAATGCCCATCTTTCGACATTCTATGCACTTGTCCTATTTTATTCCCTTTGTTGACATTGTATTTTCAAGAGTATTTCACTCTTGAAAAACTCCCATCCATCCATAACTCCCTTGACTTTTAGTATCGGTGTCCACGGAACGCTTCTCAGTATTTCCTTCATTTTTTGGAAGTCAGCTCTCCTAAAGTCCAGAATGCGGGTTTGACTTGTCTTAGTTTCGGCCTTCCTTTGTATCGCAAATTGCAGGAGCACATGGTTACTTGCCCCTAAGGATTCAACAACATCGACTGCATTGATCAGGTCCTTCATGTTTGTTAGGATTGAGAGTAGCCAATCCCCTTGTTGCCTCTTCTGGACCCTAAAACAGTCTGCAAGGCAAGTGAGAAATTTGTTGGACTTTGTATTCTAGGCCGTGTTTGTTTTCCAGCAAATACCGGGATAGTTGAAATTGGACATGACTACTATATCTCCTCTTTTGTGCTTGTTTGGTTGACAGAAGGCTTTGTCGAGCTTTTCATCCTGGCTCAGAGGTCTCTAGTAGCCGCCTACGATGAGATATTTTTGAGTCCCGGTTCCCTTGATTCTCCCAGAAATCCTTTTGCTTACCTGATTCAGTTCTACTCCTTCACAAAGGGGAAGAAACGACTGTGGATTCGGCAACAACATCATTCCAGCCCCTGGGAGAGAGAGTGTGGAAACTGATCACACAAGGTGTGGAAACTGATCACATAAACATGTCTCAGAAGTTACAATCACAGTCCTATAAAGAAACCTATGAAGAATTTGTGGTGGAGGACATTTGGAACTTTAGATGGTGTGTATAATAATAGTGCTTGGGTTAAAGATATACATGTAACAATTACAACAAATACAAGCGTTCTCTTTCCCCCTCCGACCCTTTAATCTTCCTCGGTGACACATTTATACAGTCCTAATCTACCAAGGGAAGGTAATGGCGCTCCATGCAATCAACCCTATGGCCACCTGCCCTTGGAGGTGTCTACAGACAACGCCTGCTCTTTGGATTAGAAATGGAGATGAGCACCAACCCCCAGAGTCAGCCTCGATTGGACTTCACATCAGGGGAAAACGTTTTTCCTTAATCTAATTACGTTCCCGGCTATGGAACTCCCTCCCCAGGGATATTAGATCGGCCCCTCCTTCCTGATTTTCCGAAAAAAAGTAAAGACCTGGCTCTTTGAGCAAGCTTTTGAGAGTGGAGCAGAATAGATAACATGGAACTATGAATGATGAACATGGAATGGCCAGACGATGTTACTGGATAACGTTTTTAACAGGATGACACTGATGATTATATGATTTAATGGTTTTGTTATTTATTTATCGTGTCATCCGCAACCAGAACATTGTATTACATTTCTAACAGAACAAAACAAACAAACAAACAAACAAACAGATTAAAAACAACAACAACAACAACAACAAAAACAAAGAAACACAAGTTTTGCAAACTTGGTAGCTGATTAAATGTCCTTTGACCAGTATCAGGCCACTCGCTTCTGGTGTTGCCGCAAAAAGGTCCTCCAACGTGCATGTGACAGGGCTCAGGTTGCATTGCAGCAGGTGGTCAGTGGTTTGCTCTTCTCCGCACTCGCATGTCGTGGATTCCACTTTGTGGCCCCATTTCTCAAGGTTGGCTCTGCAAGGTTGGCTCTGCAGAGCGCCGTCTGTTCAGCGCCTTCCATGTCGCCCAGTCTTCTGTGTGCCCAGGGGGGAGTCACTCATTTGGTATCAGCCATTGATTGAGGTTCTGGGTTTGAGCCTGCCACTTTTGGATTCTCGCTTGCTGGGGTGTTCCAGCGAGTGTCTCTGTAGATCTTAGAAAACTATTTCTAGATTTAAGCATTGACGTGCTGGCTGATACCCAAACAGGGGATGAGCTAGAGATGTCTCTGCCTTGGTCCTTTCACTATTGGCTGCTACTTCCCGGCAGATGTCAGGTGGTGCAATACCGGCTAAGCAGTGTAATTTCTCCAGTGGTGTGGAGCGCAGACAACCCGTGATAATCCGGCATGTCTCATTAAGAGCCACATCCACTGTTTTTGCGTGGTGAGATGTGTTCCACACTGGGCATGCGTACTCCGCAGCAGAGTAGCACAGCACAAGGGCAGATGTCTTCACTGTATCTGGTTGTGATCCCCAGGTTGTGCCAGTCAGCTTTCGTATGATATTGTTTCTAGCACCCACTTTTTGCTTGATGTTCAGGCAGTGTATAAAGAAATTAGCATTGACCTTTCTGACTTTGGCAGGGGGGAAGACTTTTCAATCCCACCACTGCCACCAATGTAATATAATTTAGACTATACGTGACGTAACTCGCCGCTGGACACCACTGTAAAATAATTAGCGGCTGACCATAGGTTAAATATATCAATGACCGATGTTTCTGGTAGAATTAGCTGCCACCACCTCAGCTTTATTGGTCTGAGGAACCAAAGGTGTGAATGTGTTGTAGGTAAGGTGTGTTTGCCCTTGGTTCTTCTGTAACTCCTTTACTGGTTGACTGGTCTTTAAAAGGGTTTGACAGACTGAGGCTGACACCAGTTAAAAGTGAACTAGAAAAGGTTTATTAAACTTTAAGAGTATTTCGACTCATAGAATGAGTGGTACAGAAACTTGATTCAGTTGTAGAGACTTAGTTGGGTTAAACAGTTAGTTCTACTGACAATAAAGCTTTTATTAACTGTGAGTTTCCTTAATCACACTGTCTCCCTCTTGGAAACAGTATATACTGGAGAACAGACCCCTATCTGTCTCACACACAGGGCAATAAGCTCTCTTATACTTTCCCTAAGTATAAGAAGACAAGTCTTTCTGTTACTGATCCTCTCAATACAGTAACCCTAGCCCTTGTCTGCGACTTATTCCCTATCCTTAAGGCTCACTTTAAAGCTTTCTTTCCCTGTCAGACTCCTATTTTAGCTTCCTCTCTTAAAATTCCATCCTTCTGTGTCTGATTTCAAGACACTTCTGTCAAAAGCTGACAGCCTTTTTTTCCTCTCTCAACCGACTCCTCCCCTAATTGCTCTAACCAATCAGGAGTCGGTTTGACTCCTCCTCCTGCTTCTGCCTGTCTTTCAAGATGACAGCTACTGACTTTCAGGCTTCGGCCTGGTCGCCTTAAAGGTAGATTTCACTACACAGTGCTTCTTGTAGGTAAGAGCATGGTCCAGAGTGACTCCCAGGTATTTGGGTGCGCTGCAATGCTCCAGTGGGATTCCTTCCCAGGTGATCTTCAGAGCTCGGGATGCTTCTCTGTTCTCGAGATGAATGGTTTTGTGAATGCCTGACATCGAATTGTGCCAATCTGTAACCCACCTTGAGTCGCCATATGGCTGAAAAAGGCGGGCTATAAATATCTTAAATCTATATAAATAAAATTGTAATATTCGTTTGTGGGATTAACATAACTCAAAAATCACTGGACGAATTGACACCAAATTTGGACACAAGACACCTAACAACCCAATGTATGTCCTTCACTAAAAAAAAATGATTTTGTCATTTGAGAGTTTTAGTTGCTGGGATTTATAGTTCACCAACAATTAAAGAACATTCTGAACCGCACCAACGATGGAATTGAACCAAGCTTGGCACACTGTTCTCCCATGACCAACAGAAAATACTGGAAGGGTTTGATGGGCAGTGTCCTTTGGTTTTGGAGTTGTAGTTCACCTACATCCAGAGATCACTGTGCACTCAAACAATGATGGACCTGGACCAAACTCTACACGAATACTCAACATGCCCAAATGTGAACACTGGTGGAGTTTTGGGGGAAATAGAATCTTGACATTTGGGAGTTGTAGTTGCTGGGATTTATAGTTCACCTACAATCACTGAGCACCAGGTCCCCTTTTCTCCATGGTGCATGTGAATCAAGGCCATGATCCATCGCCTTGGAAGGAGGAGAGTTTAGAAAGTTGTGCTTTCTTTGTTCTCGGCCAGTGTGTTATTATTTATTTATTTACGACATTTATATGTCGCCCTTCTCACCCCGAAGGGGACTCGGAGCGGCTTACAAGATACATATACACACATTATATTATATTATTAGTGTAGTACAATATCAGTATTACATATTACTATATTGTACAGTATAATATTATATTGTAATATTATTAGTAATATTACATACAATATTAGAGGGGACGTGGTTTTAAAAAGGGAATTCTCAGAGATGTTCCCAATGCCCATATGTCCCGATTTACTGCCATATTGGCCTATTTCTGCAGTAGGCCTATGTTTACAGATGGTTTGAGAAATCAGTATTCCAGAGAAGATGTTACTATTCAAGGATAACAGTATATCCAGACAAAACCGGCTAGCTGGTGGCTAGTTAGTACTCCCCAGTTTCCCAGCCATTCTGGAGCCATGTTTGCAAGAAACTAACAGATAAGATACAGTCATAGTCAGAGAACAACAGAATCATAGAATCAAAGAGTTGGAAGAGACCTCATGGGCCATCCAGTCCAACCCCATTCTGCCAAGAAGCAGGAATATTGCATTCAATGCACCCCTGACAGATGGCCATCCAGCCTGTTTAAAAGCTTCCAAAGAAGGAGCCTCCACCACACTCCAGGGCAGAGAGTTCCACTGCTGAACGGCTCTCACAGTCAGGAAGTTCTTCCTAATGTTCAGATGGAATCTCCTCTCTTGTAGTTTGAAGCCATTGTTCCATTGCGTCCTAGTCTCCAGGGCAGCAGAAAACAAGCTTACTCCCTCCTCCCTGTGGCTTCCTCTCACATATTTATACATGGTTATCATATCTCCTATAGTTGTGTTATAGTTGTGCCATTGTTAGGATCTCATGTGTGTTATAATGTCAATCGAAATAATAAACAACAAATGAACAACTGTATAGCTAGCTTAGACCAATGAAATTATTTGTCTTTAGGAACCAATGAAAATGTGTATTCCATTTACTACCAAAGTGATAAAAACCCTGCAGTCCCATTGGGGGTTGCGACAAACCCTTTGATTGCATTCCTGGATGCTTGTTTGTTGTTATTGCTTATGGCCATGCAATAAATAGTTTTTTGCAGTTTAAAAGATTTAACTTTTGTGGTGTCCTTCCTCGCCCTCCCTATTGGAAAGGGGGCTTCGGCTTTTTGGGAAATATTTTGGTTTCTTTGCCCCTACAATATAAAATATATAATTATAATATTGTATTTTTATTATTATTTGAAACACAACAAGATGAGTCCACTGCAGACACTCTGCTTATTATTATTATTATTATTATTATTATTATTATTATTATTATTATTTGAAACACCACAAAATGAGTCCACAGCCGACACTCTGCTGGCTATTGTATTGGATCACACGTCGGACACTTCCCAAGTGTCTAGGACTGTGTGATGTATCGGCGAATAAAGCGTGCAGATCTCAGTAAGGTGGCCTTCTGCAGCTGGCAGATGATAATTTTATCAGTGCCGATTGTGTTTAAGTGCAGGCCAAAGTCTTTAGGCACTGAACCCAGTGTGCCGATCACCCCTGGGACCCCCTTGACTGGCTTGTGCCAGAGTCTTTGCAGTTCGATCTTTAAATACTCATATTGTGTCATCTTTTCCAGTTGTTTCTCTTCAATCCTGCTGTCACCTGGGATTGCAACATCGACAATCCATACTTTGTTTTTTAACAATTATTATTA